GGATATAGTATTTTATTATGTTGTAAATTTGGCCATAAAGATTCCAAAGTATATTATTATTATTATCATTATTATTATTAATTATTGGGGGTGCTGAGGCTTGAACTCAGGCCTTCTTGCATGCACATACTCAACTACTGAGCTATATCCCTGTCTCCCTCCAAAGTATATTAAATCAATGCTTGAAAAAACCAGAGAACTGCAGTTCCCCAGATACATAGACTCAGCTGCAGTGGGTGAGGAGAGCTAGGTGGACAAAATAGGCCCAATTTTCCCATTACAAAAAGAACTACAACATCAGTCAAATAATTCACCCCCCTCACTGTCAGCTGTGCCACAGGACCTGATGCTTCCCCGAGGCTGTGCAGATCCGTGTGGCCGAGACTCAGGTGAGACCTAGCATGGCATCAGCCTAGACAGCCAAGGAACTTCCTTCACCAGCACTACCCCAGCCTCCGGCAGCAGTGGCTGGTGCAAGACTCCATCTTCTGGGAGTAGACAGGGTGGGAAGCACGATTTTGCCCTGGAACTTAGTGCTGTGCGGGTGAAAGTTAACACCTGTTGAATCCCACCAACCCGGGTCCCCAGGCATGCCTGCGTATGGAAGTCGAAGTCTGCGGGCCTTCTACTCCAATAGCACTGCTTGTGACTGGTTGCAGCGGTCTTGGGCCCTGAGTCCACCTCAGCAATAGGCAGCCCAACAATCCAATCCCAATCCTATACTGTGCATTCTTGGTGAGCTGTGGGCTGTGTACCCAGCTTGCTGGTACTGGTGGCAGGCAACAGGAGTGCATTGAAGCCCAGGACTCCCCTTTCCACGGTGACTTGGCCCAGAGCTGGGCAGAATCCTGCAGTGCCTGACAACAGGCCAGTAACTGTGGATGAGGAACATGGGCTCAGCCAAGCCCCAGGGAGAGGCTTGTGGGAGGAGGCTACTCTTTCTAGCTACTCTCCTGGGGTTCTTTCCGAAGAATACTCCAGTAGTGTATTTGAGATAAACCTGGGCTGGGGTTGCTCTCTAGTATTGAAACAGTGATAGCAAACCAAGAGCAGACTCCTGGCAAGTCTTGACCTGGGTGACATCCAGTTCTGAAATAGTGGAAGTGAGTACAGGCTTAGAGAACAGATATGAACAAGCCAGATTAGGAAGACTGAAATAAATACCTGATCCATGAATAAAAAAGAATGAAAACCTATCATTTGCTACAACATGGTTGGAACTGGAGATCATTAAGTTGAGTGAAATGTCAGTCACAGAAAGACAAGTACCAACCACATGATCTCACTCACATAGAATCTAAAATAGTTGATTTCACAGACGTTGAGAGTAGAACAATCATTACCAGAGGCTGAGAAAAGTAGAAGAGGGGAAGACGGCAGTTACATTTTTTTTGAGGTGTTGGAAATGGAACACAGGGCCCAGTGCATGCTAGGCAAGTGGTGTACCACTGAGCTCCATCTCCAGCCCAAGGATAAGGAAGCATTAATAGGTACTGAGATAGAAGCAAGAAGGTTTGGTGTGTTCTTGCATAACAGGGTGACTATGGATAACAGTATACGTTTCAAAAAGCTAGAAGAAAGGATTTTGAAAATGTTTAGCATTTAGGACTCATGGAACCAGAATCACATAAAAGCAAGTGATTTTTTTTTCATTGAAAACCAAATGTTTCCTTATGGAAGGGCAATGTAATTTCTTCACTTGGGAAGTGCTATTAATAGGTGACATGTGGAATAATCAAACATATTAGTCAGTGCTACTTACTTGTTAAGAAACTCCGACTTTCATACTTTTTAATTCACTTTAACCCAGGGGCAAGTAAACCCAGTGGAAACTTAAGAATGAGGTGGGGATTGGGGGAGCAGTGGCAAGATGGATGTGCTTGTGTCACTGCGGTACCAGTTACCAAGGTGCTGGTGTGTCCCACGGGTCCAGGTTCTTGTGTGTCACAAACAAGAATCAGACAAGTCACACAGATCCAAAGAAACAAGTCACCAAAGTTTATTGAGGTGATAGTGCACTCAAGAAGAGTGGGCTTTCACCAAGAAAGGAAGGTAGTGCGAGCCCTATAGACGGAAGTGTCTTTCACTTCCAGTCAAGAGTCTAGGCCCTTCTCAAGGGCTGTCTTGGGTGTGTTTGACATGAGTGTGCTGACTCATGTCCTTTGTGATAACTGGGCATTTCTTACCCATAATTAACTCTCAATAAATGTATCCATGAGGCAACCCTTTTGCATGAGTAGACAATGCGAGTGTGGATTTTTGAGGAAGTTATTTCAGAACACAAATATCAGAAGACCTCACTGATAAATTAGACTTGACTGATGGTAGACAATAGAGATGGAGAGAAACAGCCAAATTTCAGCAATCTTCAGACAGGACACTGTCGGCTGGCTCCAAGGCAGAAACATCACAGCTGAAGGGCCTGGCTGAGTAATGCTTCTTAGATCATGGCTGACAGGAAGCAAGAGCCCAAAGGAGGAGCACCAGACAGGAAGAGGCCAGGGACCAGATACAGTACCCAAGTTGGCCCCTCCATGTCCCACCCAGATACACCTGGAAGTGTGCTTCACGAATCCCCTAGGTGGCTCCCAAGCCAAACAAGTTGATAGTCAAGATTAACTCTGGTATTACAGACTATGTAGAAGAACAGGCATGGGAATGTTCCCATAAAAATGTACAGTGGAGGCCCGGGGATTTAGCTCAGTGGTTTCGCTGCCTGCTGCGCAAGTGCAAGGACCCGAGTTCGATCCCTGGTACCAAAAAAACCCCCAAATGTACAGTGGACCCTTGACTTACAAACTCGATCTGTTCCCGAGGGCTGGTTGTAACTCATGTTGGTTGTAAGTCAGTACTGCTGGGATCTGGATGTTTACCTGAGTACACGCTATTGATAACAAGATGCAGATGAATCTTCCATTAACCTAACCCAAGTTGTTCGAATGTCGGTCCAGTTGTAATTTGAGGGTGCACTGTATCTGGTCATCGGGGTTCATTATGATCCCTACGGATTCTTATTCTTAAGCCTTGGTCAAGAATGGCAAACTAGTGCCCTATAATTTACTTTTATTCTTTCCTAATTTAAAAATTTAAAAAGAGCCTGGGACCCCACCCCAATAAAAGAGAAAGGGAGAAGTGAAGGTTTCCGTAGTAGATAAAGTGAGAACCATAGGATTAAGACTCTATTGGGCCAGGAATGTAGCTCAGTGGCTCCGTGCCTGCCTCGCAAGCGCAAGGTCCTGAGTTCCATCCTGGTACCGCAAAATAAAAAAATTTTACTGCCCGTAGGACTGTGTGAAATCAATGCTAAAACCAGACGGGATTTAACTTCCACCTAGAATAAACTGTCATTCCCTCTTTTCAAGATCAAGTCAGCCCCAGTAACCATTTCCTATTAATTTATGAAGCGGGAAGGCTCATGATTTAGCCTGACAATGCCCTGCAGTGGGCGAGACTGTAGTTACCCTAAATCATTTCCAACCTCGTTACCGTTCTCTTTCCACGTATTGCTACCCTGGGCCTGCAGCAGACAGCCACTCAGACGGTGTAAACTGGGGCTCCTGAAGGCCTGTTTTTGCTTGAAAATGATGAGTAACATTGATCTTTGGGCAGAAACAGCGCAGCGCTTAAGGACAGAGTCCTGTTAACTCCGAGTCGGTTACAAACATGACCTGCGTCAGTGGCTCCCAGAACTGAGGCCCAGATTCAAGTCCCCGGCAGCAGACTGGCGGGCAGAACCTGCCTTTCTGCGCCGAGCCTGGAGTCCGGGGAGAAGCTACCCCGGAGCAGGACGTGAGCCTTGCCGAGGTTCCCTGCGGCTGGCATCCGCGATCGCCAGTCCTTGGTCCCCAGGATGCTCGCCGCGGAGAGCCGGCCTGGGGCAGGCGCCCTCCCTGGGCTGTGCGCAGAGCAGGGAGGCGGCACCGCTCCAGGGTCTAGCCGCAGCCCAAGTGGGCGGGAAGCTCCGCCCCGGCCATGCTGCGGGGGCTTCGCGGCGCGCTGGGCTGGACCCTCGCTGCTTGGCCGGGGTCGGGGCGCCTGGGGCGGCGCGGGCCGTACACCTGGGCTCGCCCCCATCGCCTCGCCATGGCCAGCCCGCCGCGCGCCTTCGCCGCCCTCGCCCGCCAGGTACGGGGTCGACATGGGGGGCGGGGGGAACGGGCCGCTCCTGGGAAGCCGGGGTCCGACGCCTGCGCTGCTCTCCTCCGCCCCGGCCTGCGTCCCCTCCCCGGAGGCGGCGCCCGCGCTCCCTTTCCTTCTTGCCGACTGCGCCTCTCCGGGTCCGGGCGGCCGGGGGCGACGTGAGTCACCGCTGGGGGAGGCGGCGGGAGCCGAACCCGGGCTGCCAGAACCCCGGCCGCACCTGCCTCCCCGCAGCCCCTCCGTCCTCGGATTCCCTTTCTCTCACCGCTCCCACCTGGTTATCTACCTCGTTATCTAGCACGTAGGCTTTTTGGGGGGTAATTATCTGCACTTTTTCCTAATTAGCCCCGCTTCTTTGTGTCCTCACCTTTAGATTGCGCGACCACCACTAAGGTTTCGCGCTTCGGTGTGAGGCGGGCGCGGGCAGCACCCAGGACCCTGCTCTGCAGGAAGTGGTCGGCGCCTGTCCAGTCCCACCTGCCGCTGGCTGTTGTGCGGCAGTGACTGACGAGACCACGAAGCCCAGCGCGCCCAGATTTCTCTATAATGGCTTAACGCCCCAGTCTAGACGATTTACTGGGATGTGAAGGAGACAATTGGCTTCTTGTTCTTTGCCGGTGAACTCCAGCTCCAGAGCTGACCAGGAATTTAACCGAATCCTCTTCCTGAGCCAGCAGAGGAGGGCCCGGGGCAGGGTAGGAAGTGAGGGGCAGCCTTCCTGGGACTCTGTCTGGGGGTGCCCGATTGTCCGGCGTGGGCACCCCAGCGAGCACCCCGTGATGACAGTGAGTCTGGCCCATCAGCCCAGGCAGGCCCTGTTAGCCCGTGTGGTTTTACTAATGGAGGTTTAATTCTTTAAGGACCGCAGCAGCGGATGCTCTGCAGGAGAAGGAGGCTCCAAAGAGATGGTGAAGACCTTTAAGGTAAGTTGTTTGCCTGAGATTAGATGTCAGAAGCAGCATTCAACGGAGTAAATCCGTTTCTTGAGATTTAGGGGGAATTTTCACACTGTGGGTTCTACAGTAGTTAGATAAGCTGTGCGTATCCTTTTTAAAATTACCGTAGTGATCAGCTTCTTATTTTATGAATCAGAAACTTTCATAGAAAAATTAGTCAGTTCGTGGTTTTTAATCTGCATGTCTTTCTGATTGTAGAATAAGTATAACCTTTCACTCTCCTTGTGGAAAAAGCTCACTGTGATTTTTCTCTTGAAGTAACACTTTTAGTAAAGGTGGTGCCTTTCCTCCTTTCCTGTCTGAATTGTGTGGTTTAAATATGAAATAATCTCATACTTCACAGGGGAATAGTGAGGAAGTGGAATAAGAATCTTGGAAAATTGCTTTGAAAAATTATAAATACCCAACCGTGACGTGTGCTCTCTCTTCTGTATCAGTCATTATCCACACCATCGGCAGAGGTTTTCACTTCTCCCCGACTGTTCTGCTGTCCTCTGCCCTTCAGTCACTCACTTGTCATCATAGTACAGCGTGTCCTTCATGAGCTCACTCGCTGGCAGAGTTCAGAGCAGGAGTGCAACATGACTCAGCCACACACACAACCCTTTCGCTGGTGTAGCAGGGACTGTGCTAGGTTTTGGGGACCAAAAGATAAATTCAAGACAAGGTCTCAGAAACCAGAATATAGAAATTTCCATATTAAGGCATGTTTGTGAATCTTATTTGTCCATGTTATTTCTGGGCTTTCAACTGAATAACCTCCATAGCCGTCTTGTAGCAGATTTACTCTGCTAATCTACAATGACTGTGCCCTGTCTTTAAAAGAATGTGAGCCAACCAATGTGAGATTATCCTACTTGATAATCTCTTAAGGTTCATTTTATACAGATTCAGTAAATAAATTCCTCAAAGGAAACAGATAAATGTTTTGTTTTCCTGAGGACTTTATATTTGTACACCAAGAAAAGTTCTTTGCAAAGAATTAATTTATAATATAAGTAACCTATTAAGTTAGATTTCTACGTTAGGGTTTTTTTTGTTTTTTAAGGCAGTGTCTCCGTTTATAGTTAAAGCTGGCCCTGAACTCACTGTGTAGCCCAGGCTGGCCTCGAACTTGTGGGATCCTCCTGCCTCAGCCGGCTGAGTGCTGGGATCACAGGCCTGTGCCACCAAGCCCAGCTACATTGGGTTTTAAAGGAGGGGTGTCTGTTGACACATTTCCATATCAAAACATGACTTATATGGGACATCTTCACAGCACATATGTAATAAGGCAAATGGAAAATGATATTGATAATTCAGGGGAGAAAAGGGATGGATTTTATAGGCTCATCTGCCCTTTATTGGGGGGTGATGGTGTAGGGGATTGAACCTAGGGCCTTGCGGTCTTACACATACTAGGCATGGTCCGCTTTCACTGTGATACATCCCCAGCCCTAAACTTTGCTTTTGTCAATTTTTCCTTTCTTTGTTAATCCACCCTATTTGTAATATTTTATATTGCTCTCAGGTCTCATGGGTAGTTTTGATGAGATCAGGTTAAAGAATGCAATTTCTTTTTTTTTTCTTTTTTTGGTACCAGGGATCGAACTCAGATCCTTGCACTTCCGAGGCAGGTGGCGGAACCACCGAGCTAAATCCCCGGCCCAAGAATGCGATTTCTGACGGCTCAGTAATGAGATGCCTTGTCATAGCGCTGGGGAATCTTTCTGTGGACTCTGGGGTCCTCTTTGTTTGAAAGAGATCAGCTGTTGATTTCTTCCAATTCCTCCTGCTTGATCTATCTCCACAGAGTGCAACACTCCAAGTCTGTCAGAAGAGTATCTAACAGACAATGAATGCAGCACCTAAGACTTTGTAAATAGAATGAGAAAAATGCCCAGGAACCTATTTAAAATAGAACTTCCATCCATTTATAGTACAGACTTGGTCTATGAGAAGTTAAGTGTGTGGCCAATATAGAGAAGCATGCTCCTTCTGCTGTAGAGTGGGGAACAAAAGCTGTTGACTGAATTCTGCCTCACAGAGTCCCCAGATGTTTTCCATCAAGTTTTATACTTCCCCACTATTTCCCATTTCAGCACAAATGGTTACCTAATAATGAATGCTGAATTAAGAAACTGTTTTTCTTGTGCTCTCTTTTTGTCTGTATCTCTTGTCATTTCACAAGTTATTCTTCCACAAGCCTATGGTGTGAAACATCTGGCTTTGAAGTCATCAGAGAATATGGAATGTGACTTTATCCACACTGTCCTATTATTTCAGAATTGCATTTCAATAGACTGAAAAGTAGCTATACCCCTTCAGTTAACATTGTTACCTTTCAGCACATTCACCTATAATATCTAGTTGTTTTAGCATACTTAAGTAAAATTTCTCTTTGAACTCAGGTTAAACATTATTTTTAGTTCCCAAAATTGCTGAAATTTTCTCAATTAAAGGAAAATAGAGTTCTTGAAATTGTAAAAGGCACCCAATTTTGTGTTCCTTTGAATTGCTTTTTTTTTTTTTTTTGGTATGGGGGATGGAACTCGGAACCTTGCACTTGCAAGGCAGGTAAGGTGGCAGAACCATTGAGCTAAATCCCCGGCCCATCTGTTCCTTTGAAAAACTGAATACAGGGCAGTTCTTATGTGTGAGTCACAGAATTATAGTGTTACTATTAATATCATTAAGCAGTCACATGCCTACAAATAGATGTAGTTTACTGAAATACAACAAATGTCTGGAAATTTTAGAATTTTAACTAGTATTAGTCAATTATAATTAGAAGAGTAAAAAACAGTAAACACATTTTATTCTATATTCCTTCTTTGCTGTTAACTAACTTCACCTCTTCAGTGGGTTATAATCAGTGATTTCAGAGATATTTTTAATTTATATTTTGCAGGACTGGGAATTGAACTCAGAGCCTTACCTATGCTAGACATGTGTTCTACCTCTGAGCTCTACTTCCAGCCCTTGTAGTATTTTATTTTATTTTATTTTTTATTTTTTATTTTTTTGGTACCGGGGATCAAACTCAGGCTCTTGCACTTGCACAGCGGGTGGCGAAACCACTGCCCTAAATCCCTGGCCCTCTCGTGGTATTTTAAGGAAAGGATTCCGCAAACAAAATTATATTTGTTGGACCACGATCAACTCAGTGTTAGCAATCCATTGGACTGCACTATAGAGGTTTCTGAAAATTCTAATCTAGACTCTAACCTAATAAACTCTAATCCCATTTCAGATGTGAACCAGAACCTGCGGAGTGGGGCAGGGCTGTTCTGGTTTGGTTTTTATGTCACAAAGGTGATTTGATTGTGCATTTAGGGTTCCTGGATGCCTTCATCTCCTTGTGAGAGCCAGGGGTTGGAAAATTACTGCTCCTGAAGGAGAAGCATGGCAGCGCCATTTCTCAGATTCTTGTATTTTACCATTCCTTACTGACCTCCCCTTTCTTGGCTGGCTTCTTCATACTTCAAGAACAACAAGAAATTAAAACCTGGTAACCCTACCTCCAGGGATATCTTCAGTTTGCCTGGAACTCATGGAACTAGGCTGATGGTATTTTCGAGCAGCTTATGCACATCCCCAGGGAAAGAAGAAAGGGGCTACAGTCTTAGGTGGACAGAGCCAGAGCCCGTGGAGACCTGGGAGGTAATTGTACACTGGTCACTATCTGGGCCCAGCCCCGCTCCAGGACTGCAGTGACAGTATCTCCTGGAACTCCACTTACCCACATTCTCAGCATTCCCTGCATGCCTGTCACACTGGGCTTTTTGCTGTGTCTTGAACATACTAAGTGAATTGCTACCTCAGGGCCTTTGCATTTGCCTTATCTGCCTGAAATACTATGCCCCTGAGACCCCATTAGAGAAGCCATCACTAATGTTTCTCAGATAAGCAGTCCCTTTCTTACTCAATTCTCTTAAACTGCTTTAATTCGCCCTGTAGCATTAGTTATCTCCTGACATCTAGTAATCAGTTTTATTTCTTGTCTCTAAGACAACCAGGACTGATGTTTTTCAGGTTGGATACCAGTATGGTAAGTCATAAAATACTAAGTTGAATGAATGAATACTTTTTGCTCTCAGCAGCTACAATGTGTCTGTCCATGGCCACAGTGAGTTGGCATTCAAGGGAAGGACTGAGCCTTGTGCAGTGCCAGTATATCTTGTGCTTTCTCAGTATACCACCTGTGCCACAGTGCTGGTACTGTCAGTATTTAGTGAGTGAATAACAAGGCAAAATACTAAGAGTAATAAAGGAGATGAGGAAGAAAGAGGAATGAAGGAGGGAAAAACGCATTGATCTGAAGCAAAGCTATAGTTTTGTTTTAAAATATACTTATGCAGATTAGCATTGAAGGGAAGTTGTGTATTTCCCGTTGCCTGTCAGTTCATGACAAGAATAATCAGAGGGCTTAGAAATCCATAAAAATATAAAGATCATGTTCTCCCAGCTTCATGTTTGGGGGTATAATTGACTGACAATAGAGCAGGCGAGAGTGTGAACTTTTATGTCATTTTGGAAGAACTGAACAATATTGATTCTGCCATGAACAGGGGCAAGTTCTATTGCTTTTGCATTATTTAAAATGGAAGCACCTTGAGGCCATAAGTGAAAATATCCTAAGTGAAATACATATATCACATACACAGGTTTAAATATCACAGTTTCACTTGTGTGAGAAACCCCAAGTATAAGTAAGGAGCAAACTAGAGGATTGATACAAGGAAGTAGGAAGAACTTGTTCAGCTGAGAAGGGGAAAAAGAGATGAGGGGAAGGGAAAAGAGATTTAAAGGAAAAGAAAAAGAAGTGAAGAAAAAATGTAAATAGAGGTTTTGTAAATAAGGGAGGAGGGTTGGAGGGAGGGGAAGGGAAAGGGATTAAAAAAAAGAATTGAGAAGTGTTATGTACATGTATAAATCCCCCTCGATGAGTGTGTTCGTTATATATAGCTAAATATACTAATAAAAAAAAGTATCTAGAATACAGCGAGTTTAATAAGCTGTCCATTTTCACAACCACTCTTTGTGTGTGTGTCTCTGTCTCATTACCCTCTCTCCTTCTACCAGGAAACTTAACTAGTGCTCTTGGAGAAGAAATTTTGCATTGTTTACTTTGTAGCATTAGTACAGTTCCAGGTTTTCCTCAGCATAGGCTGTCTTCCCATTCAGTAAGAAAAAGCTAACTAAAGCAAAATCACAGATGCTTCACTCTGCAATATGCTGAAAATATTCATGTCATAAAAGGCTTGCCTTAGAATTACCCTTGCTCAGAATCCTGGCCATCTTTTACGAGGGAGGCTTCATTCACCAGGGGTTACAGACAGGAGCAGAATGGTCCGCGTAGCCGGCATGGTGCTAACAAATGTTGGAGAACTAAGTGCAGACGCTCTAGTTAGTTTGTCGTAACAGACTAAAGCAGTGGTGGCGAACCTATGGCATACGTGCTGTACCCGGCTGTTTGGTAGTTTGGTAGCATCGAAAACTCCAAAAGGTTTGCCATCACCAGTCTAGAGCAACGGGTGGCAAACTGGTTTTTGATTGTGCATATGTGTGGGCACACACGTGTGTTTGTTTTAATGCTGGAAATTGAACCCAAGACCTCACTTGTGTATACCAAGCATGAGCTGTATCACTGAGCTACACTCCCCATCCCCAACAAACTTTTTCACAAACTTTTTTGTTTTGTTTTGTTTTTGGTACTGGGCATTGAACTTAGGATCTTGTGCTTGCAAAGCAGGCAGCGGAACCACTGAGCTAAATCCCTGGCCCTCACAAACTTTTTAACAGTGTCAGGTAATAAATATTGTAGAAGTGAAGGCTTTTAGGTTATTGTCACAACAAGTGGATTCTGCTACCACCGAAGGTAAAAGAGTTGTATGGTTGCTTTCCATTAAAACTTTTCTTTACAGGACAGGCCAGCGGCTACTTTTGACCCACAAGTAAAACTTGCCTGACCTTCTACCTAATCTTAAAAAATAAAAGGAGATAGGACCCAAAGATAAGTTAGCTGGAACATGTCCCTTTCAGCACATTTATTTCACTTAGTAATGGGTTTTAAGCTAACTTATTTTGTTGGATTAAATAGTGGTAGAAGAAAGTCAGTTTTCTCTCCAAATTTGGCATTTTACTAGGATATGACAGCATGGTAAGCTTTGCCATATTATATTGTCCTTAATGCCCTGGACTTCATTGTGAAGTGAGCTTCCTGGTTGTCTTAGAATATGTTTTTCAACCCGAATATTCTAAAAAACTGATTATCATTTATAATTTATCAAATGGCTAAAGTAACTATAAGACAGTGACTTGATCAGGGATGATTAAAAATTGTTGAAAAAGTAAATCGTGTAAAAATATAAAAACCCAATGATGTACTGCTGCACAAGCGCAAAGGACCTGAGTTTGATCCCCAGTACCAAAAAAAAAAAAGCCAATGATGTAAAGTGAAGTTCTATATTATTTATTTTGTGGGGTTCTTTTGGGGGTGCTGAGGGTTGAACCCAGGGCCTTATACATGCTAAGCCCATGCTTTATCCCTGACCTGCACCCTTAGGCCCCAGAGTTCTATGTGATTTGGAAGGAAATGAGAAGCTGAAGACCTGGGGTGAAGCTGACGGTAGAGAGCTTACTGGGCTTGCCTCAGGTCCCTGGTTTGATCCCCAGCCTTGATAAGGATTGGGGCTGGGCTCACCTGTGTCCCAGCTACTAGACAGAAAGCAGAAGGGCGGGCCAGCCTGTGTGAAACAATGCAGAGCTGGACATTTCTTGCTACTTGTTAACAGGTTGAACTTGTTCTGTTCCCAGTTTTTCAGTTGGTCAGGAAGCCTCTCACCTGTTTTCCACCAGTGTTCCGTAACTGTTAGAAAGTTAGTGGCAGCCGTGGGACAGTTGCGTGCCTGCATCTCTGGTCCTTTGTAATGGGCAAAGTGGCTTTGTGAAGAGTTGGTGAAACACTGTGTGAAGTTGTTTCCTTTTCCTGTTATTTATGTGTCTTTGAATAAGAGGTCTTTTGTCCACTGTTTCCTTGACACAGAATAGAGGATTGATATCTTGCTGTTCATTCTCTACTTGTCTGTTTTTTCAAAGAGGAAAACATTCGCCTCACTTTGCTAATTTCTGCTACAGTGCGTCCAGAGGGTGTGGAAGGTTTATGTCAGGAATTCTCTTCATCATTCAGAGCATAGACATTCCAAGTAGAGAGGTTCGGTGCTTAACGGCGCTCATTTGAGTTTCACAAGTCCTTGTGTGCCCTTTCTTCTTTCCCAGACGTTTAGCTTGAGTCCTGTAATGGGACTGACGAGGATGTGTTCTTTTGCGTCATTTGACCTCGTCTGCTATTTTGTCCCTAATTTCAGAACATCGCGGAAATTTGGTTCTCATGTTCTATTGGGCAGTGTACATTGCAGAACTTTTGAACATTGGCTGAGTTCTGAATGTAGGCAGGGTCTATTTAGTGCACATGGTGTTAAGTTTCTATGTTAGTTGCCAACATTTAAAAGTCAAGTAATATAGGGCCCCCCCACCCATTTTCTAACCAGTGGATGTTCAGTTACTTTTCTTTAATGATGCTGATTTTTTCTTTCACAGGCTAAAGATCTAATAATCACACCATCCACCAGTTTTAAGGCTAAACCAGACCCGAATAATCTGGTTTTTGGAACCGTGTTTACGGATCACATGTTGACAGTGGAGTGGTCTTCTGAGTTTGGATGGGAGAAACCTCACATCAAGCCCTTTCAGAATCTCTCACTGCATCCTGCGTCATCCACTTTGCACTATGCCGTAGAAGTAAGTACGAGGGGGTTAGTGATGGTGACATGTTTACTCTTCACCGTGGGCAGAATATGCATGCTCTGTAATAGTTACTAGAGAAAGTCATAAACAGCTGTAAAATTTTCTTGCAGATAGTTCATCTGAGGATAAGTTTTAACTAATTTTTCAGATAATCCTGAAAGTTTCTGTGATGTCAGTAAAAAAATCATTGGGAGCAACTACCAAGGACAGTTGGTAGAAAAATTAGGCCATACTGTTGATATATTATTCAGTTACCCTCTTTTCAGGTCTTTTGATGATTGAGAAAGGGTCATTGAATACACTAGCATGATTAAGTTTTCATCTAAGTGCATGTTTTTATGAGCAGGAGTAACATGTTATGCACATTAAGGGATGTGTAATTAAATGTCCACATGTATGTGTATGAGTACCAGAGCCACCTGTGTGCACATGACCCTGGGCCATCTCTTGGATTTAGGCATGGAGCACATCAGTGTGCTGTCTGCTGTTGTGAGCATTAACCTAAGGCCACGCAAGTCCCAAAACTGGGATGAAGGCCATTTGGGCAGAGAGTCCTGGGAAGCTATGTAGTCTGGTTTAGGAAGGAGCTCAGGGTCCAGAGGGCATGTCCCCTGGGCTCTTTACTGCTTGTCCCGAGGAGGCCACAGCTGGAGCAAAGCAGGGGTGAGGGCCCTTGAAAATGTGGGAATCAGGGTAGAGGCCCTGGTTACCTGGTCTCAAGGTATAGATAGCACATCCATGCATCCTGTGGTAGTAGTTTTCTCTAAGTCAGCAGTTCTCAAAGTGTAGTCCACAGAGCACTAGGTTTTCCTGAGACCCTTGCAAAAAATAATCTCGATTAAAACTCCTGTCTCAGTAATACCAGTTGTAAGACTTTAGTCTTCTGTTTCATTGTGCTGACATTTGCCCTAAGTAAAATACATTCCAGCTTCTACTGGTTGGTCATTATATCAACTTCACATTAAGTACTTCCCTGTACTGACGTATTGTGATTGCACGGGGAAAGATGATTGTGTGATTGTCTTGAGATTTTAAGAGCAACTAGTGCTTCTTTTTTCTAGTACCATTTTTACATGAAAGAACAAAGTAGAATTATTCAGTTTTAGGCATTCGGCAGATGTTTTCTTCCAAGTGAAATGAAATGAACCTGTTGCTTAAAGCAAAATAAAAGACGGGAATTTCTTACCAATAATAAAATTCTTGCTTAAGTGAAAATTAAAATTTTGGAAATTTTTATGAGCACAGACACTTTCAACACTCAAAAAGCTTTATGATATTAGTGGTGATAGTAACAGTATAAAAAGGTGTTAAAATTCAGAAGCTCTACATAACTCAGTCAAATGACCATCGCATATTACATTTTTGCATGGATAAAATTAGCCATTCAGACGGCAAGATTGACTGTGATTGCATTTGGATGTGTCAGTTTGACTAGTATGAATTAGTCCGCAGACTTCTAGTTTTAGCCTCCTGATGAGAATGGGCTGCAAGAATGTTCTCTAACTGTGTGTGCACATGTGATTAAGGTCTTTACTGGGAAAATTTTTTTTCATTACTAGGAATTGAATATAGGGCCTTTGCCCCGAGCTACATCCCCAGCCCTTTTGTTTTTTATTTTGAGAGAGGGTCTCACTAAGTTACCCAGTGTAGGCTTGCTGGAGAACTTGCAGACTCCTGCCTCAGCCTCCCAGAGTCCTGGAATTGCAGATGTGCTGTGCCCAGCTTTCGTCAGTTCATTTAAAGGTAATCCAGAGTGTTTGTTCTTTGTGCGTCCGACCCTGAGAGTTCCCTGAGGAAAGGCTTGCAGCTGCACTCCTCTCGCCTCTCTCCCTTGGCCTGCTGAGAGCACATCTGCTGCTGCTCGGGGCTGGAGGTGTCCAGCTTGCTTCCCAGCATCCCTTCTTGGCTGCCTGTTCCACAGACCCCAGAGCTGCTAGCCAGTCTGCAGGCTGCACTGCCCAGTCCCTTATAATACATCCGTATTGTACATCCCTCCTCCTGCTTCCACTTCTCTCATTGAACCTTAACAGACCAATGGATTTAGTAAATTAGCAGAGTCTGGAGACTGCATCGGTGTCAGATTCTATCGTGCAATTATTTAAGTAACCGCTACTTACCAGCTTTGCAGTGTTGTCAAAGGAGATTATCTGAAAAAGCTATCCGAAATACTTTTCCTTAGCCGGGCATAGTGGCACAGGCCTGTAATCCCAGCACTCTGGGAGACTGAGGCAGAAGGATTGCAAGTTCAAGCCCAGCATGGGCAACTGAGCAACTCGTCTCAAAATTAAAAAAGGGCTGGGAACATAGCCCTGGGTTTGGTCCCCAATACCACAAAGACAGAAGGAAAGTGGGAGGAAGGAAGGAAGGAGGAAAAGAAGGGGGGAAGAAAGGAAGAAAGACTTCTTCCTTTCTCAGCTTCAGGTTTGTAGAAGGTGGGATTTTCTTTACATACTGCAAACAAACATCCTGCAAGAGAGTAAATGCAGAAGCAGATTGGAGAATCCATTTGTCTTCTTTAGCCAAACTTTAAAGATTTTAAATGATTTGAAACAATGCCAGGTATGTCACCAAATCTTTTAGAAAAGATATTTTTTTATTGAAATAGGTCAACATGTTGTGGTTTGTTGTTGTAAATAATAAAATACATTTTAAATGCCACACTTCTAACTCCTAATATGGAAAATATGGAAGAATTACATGAATAAAACCTCTTTGAGGGCTTCATAATTTTTAGAGGTTTCCTGAGACTAAAAATTTGTGGATTACTGCCTAAGGATATACTTAAGAATGATACTACTGGGCCAGGGATTTAGCAAAGTGGCTCTGCCGCCTGCCATGAAAGTACAAGGACCCAAGTTTGATCCCCGGTACCCAGGAAAAAAAAAAAAAAAGAATGATACTATTGGTTCTAGGATATAGCTTGAGGTTTGTTTTTTGTTTTTGTTTTTATTTTTTTGGCTTGAGTTTTAAAAGAAAAGCAAAAACTGTTTCCCGTAGTTGATTTTACCAATTGTTAAACTCACCAGCCATGAATAAGTGTTTCTATCCCATATCCTTGTCATCTTAATGTAGAAAGATTTAAACTTTTTTTCCAGTGTAGTTATCTTATTATGACATTACTTCTTTGAAGAGGTTGAGCACATTTTCATGTAATAATTTGAATATGGGTTCTCTGTCAATTGTGTGTTTCAAATCTCTCTCTCTCTCTCTCTCTCTCTCTCTCTCTCTCTCTCGTGGTACTCGGGATTGAACTCAGGGTAACTCTTATCACTGACTTATATCCCATCCCCTTTTTGTCTTTTCATTTTGAGACAGGATCTTGCTAAGTTGCCTGTGCTGGGTCTGAAGTTGGAATCCTCCTCCCTCAGCCCCCTGAATAGCCAAGGTTATGGGCATGCACCATCACATCCTGCCTTTCATTATCTTTTGTTAGATCCGCCCCCCCACCCCGTCCTAAGTATTCCTAAGTTACAACTCTATTTTAAACAGTGTTTTTATTCTTTTAATTGCTCCTGCATAGTTATATAATTTGGCATCTGGCCACTTGCCTAAGCAAGTAAATACAAAAGATTATCTGTCAGGTTTTCTGGATTTTCTGCATATTTATTCGTATGATCTGTTTCATGATCTGCGGCAGTTTTATTTTGTCTCTTCCAAACCTTCTTATTTTTATTTCATAATTGCCTTATACCAAATGTACTGTATTCAGGTAAAGTGGTTGCAGCAGGCAACTTTTGATGTTCCTAGTTTGAAAAGGAAAGTATTTTACATTTTACTATTCATAATGTTTGGTTAGAATTTATTGTAGATATCATTTGTAAGTTGAGGAAGTTCTTAATCTCTTCTCTCCTTAATTTCCTAGAAAACTTAAAAATCATGACTGAATATTCAGTTTTATCAACTTCATTTCCTGTGTCTAATGAGATGATCATGCCTTTTTTTTCCCCACATAAGTTGTTAATGTAATGGATCACATTGGTATTTGTAGGTTAAACCAACTTCCAGTTTCATCCATGTTGTCAAAATGGTAGAATTTCCTTCTTTTTTAAGGCTTAATAGTATCCATTGTATATACACACCATATTTTCTTTATTCATTCATCTGTTGATGGGCACTTAGGTTGATTCTGTGTCATGGCTATTATGACAGTGCTCTTCAACATACTTATGCCATGTCTTTTGGATAGCTGTCATATGGTAGTATGACATTTACGGTCATGTGTCATTTGGTGGGTCATATAGTGGTTCAGTTTTAATTTCCTAAGAAACTTCTGTATTATTTTCCATAATGACTGTGCTAGTTTACATTCCCACCAACAGTGCACATGAGTTTGTGTTTCCCACATCCTTGCCAACACTTGCTATTTTCAGACTTTGATAATAGGCCATTCGAAATGTGTACAATTTTGAAGCTGTGAAATAAATGTAATCTTATCAAGTTACCTTCTTTATGTTAAGTAATGCTTGTCTTACAGTCTGTTTTGTTTTACATTTAGCAGTATAACTTCACCCTTTATTTTAGAAGGTATTTGCATGATAGTATCTTTTTGTTTTAGATGTTACCTGCTGAGTCCAACCTGACAGCTTTTTTTTTTCCCCCGGTACCAGGGATTGAACTCAGGCCCTTGCGCTTGCGAGGCAGGCGTGGTGCCACTGAGCTAAATCCCCAGCCCCAACAGCCATTCTTTTAACTGAAGCTTTAGCCTGATTATATTACTGAATTAATGATATATTTGTATTTGAAATACAAGGTCTAATTTTATGCTTTTTAATTGTACTACATGATTCATATTTCTTTTTTTCTCATGTGATGATAGGCTTTAAGTATCTAAAGACCTTACTTTTCACTAACAGTTCAACATAGTTTTGGATTTCCATTATATTTCTTCTTTGACCAGTGGTTTATTTAGTAATCAGTTTCTTTTAAAGTGTGGATATTTTCTAGTTATACTTTGATACTGATTTCTGGCTTATTTCGTATTTGGAAAGCCTGAAAAAAGAACATGTATTCCGCAGGTAGAATGCATAGGGTGCTATCTGGCTATTAGGTAAGTCTGTTCTCATTGTTCCAGTCTTCTGTCTTTACTGAGCTTTAACTGGTTTGTTCTATTGATTACTTAGAGTGCTTGTGTTAAAATTTCTCACTAAAAGTACTAGTTTTTCTCTGTGTTGATCAGTATATATGTACTTCATAATTCTTTCACATCCCTGCCCAGTCATTTGTTTGGGCCAGCACTTTGCAGAAGATAGTACAGTCCAAAAATAGTATTGCTCTTCTACTGCCTTATTTTTATGATTTGGACTGAACCAGATCTGGTTACACATAGATTAGCTACTATTATATTTGTTAGCTTTCTTGTCACTGAGACACACCACCCAACACTCACAACTTAAAGGAAGAGAAGTTTAATTTGGCTCAGAGTTTTGGGGGATTCAGGCCATGGTTGGCTGGCTCCAGTGCAGAAACAGCATGGTACAAGGGTATGGCAGAGAAAAGCTGCTCACCTCATAGCTGCTAGGAAATAGAGAAGGGAGGAGCCGGAGAGGGAAATAGGTCCTTCAAGGTCATGTCCTCAATGACACACCTCTTTCACCCAGGCTGCCACCTCCTAATAGCACATTCAGCCATGAGCTTATTGATGAAGCACTGACACACATGGTGCCTTCGTAATCCACTTGCCTTTGAAAAGTCACAACTCTGAAAGCGAGATTTTTGAAGGACATTCTAGTTCTAAATCATAACATCTGCCCAGACCAGTGTTGGTGAACCTATGGGACATGTACCACAGCGGACTGTTTGTATCATTGAACACCCTAAAAGCTTCACCATCACTGGTGTAGACTATGAATGAACCCATTTAAATGAAAAGATACATGGCTATCTCCGAGGGGCAGGGTGCCGCTGAACCTTTGGTGTTTAACCTCCATTGACTGGACAATTGACCAGGTTTCGGGATTGCCAGTGTCTTCTCTCCATGGCCATCAGTGTATTACTGAGCAGTGCGCCTCCTGAAAGCGAATGAGAATCCTCGACTCCCACACATTCTGGTAATAAAAAGGCTTTTTTCCCCCCAGTAACTATAACCTTTCTGTCGTCTGATTTAATTATCGCAGGTGGAAGTCAGTGCCAAGGACGAATGAGATGAGCACCAGAGAAACCTCCTTCTTTCGATCAGAGGGATTGTTTTCATTTAGTTCCCCGCTAAGATTTATTTCTTTTTTTAATCTTCAGTTGTTTGAAGGTTTGAAGGCATATCGAGGACATGATAATAAAATTCGGCTGTTCCGGCCAGACCTCAACATGGACAGAATGTATCGATCTGCGGTGAGGGCAACTTTGCCGGTAGGTAAATGTAGGGATTTCTTTTGTGTTTCTCTTAATTTCATGGGTCATTCTGAGTTTATCACTAAATAAATCAGTTTTTTTCTTTTTCTAAAATAAACATTTTTACAACTAGAATAATTTTAAGTTTATAGAATACTTACAGGTAATAGAATTCCCATTACTCTACCCTATTTCCCATATTCACATTTTACTTAATATGGTACATTTTTCACAATTAATAAACCAATATCGATACTGTATTGTTGTTATTAATTAGAGACAATCATTTCTTCAAATTTTCTTACCCTAATGTCTCTTGGATGTTCCAGGATCCCACTAGGATTGTATTTAGTCATCACGTCACCATAAGCTCTTATTGGCTGTGACATTTTCTCACAAAAATCATTTTCTCTTCAAAAAATCATTTCTAAGCTGGGTGCTGTAATCCCAGCACTCTGGCAGGGTGAGGTAGGAGGATCACAAGTTTGACCCCAGCCTAGGCAAATTGTGAGATCCCATCTCAAAATGAAAAATTTTTAAAAAGGGCTGGGAGGTAGCTCAGTGCAAAGGCCCTGCCTGATTCAACCACCCAGTGTTGATAAAACAAAGCAAAAAAAATTTTTTTTTCCAAATAACTAAATCAATATTCAGTACAAACCATATGAACATTGAAGTTATTTCTGATTTACTTCAATTAGTAAAGTAACATACAAGGAAATAACCAATACTGTTTGGCAATTCCACAATATTTGTGCTTCTTTATTAGAACCTGGTGGATTAATGAGTATGTGAGAGATAAAAGGATAAGGAAGAAAAATATGAATCAAACTACATAAAATTTAAAGGCCACATGAAATTATGATACTAAAAATGGAAAATGTGTGTGGCATGAGGATTTCAGGGATATTTTGCCTAATTGCTTTGGCCACTTGCAAGTATTCAATAAGATAATAATTATTATCCCAAGCTTTGTTTTGGAGGAAAAAAAGACTAGTTAAAAGATTTTTTTAATGGCCATCGGATCCTGCCTATAACATTGGTATGGAGCAGAATTTGTTATAAAATGGGTTAGATTTAGAGACTAAAATCCACCTCTCTGTAGGAGGTTATTCACATGCCTGCCTTCCTGAGAAGTGGCCAAGTTGGTTTCTGAACTGAGAGGAGTCTGTTCTTTCTTTTACAAAACTTTGCGTGGCTCACCTCCCAGAGCTTAGCCCAAGGTGTGCACTGAAGAAAGTGAACCCCGAGCATCATCTTGGCCAGGGTTTTCCTTCCTCTAACACAGGCTTCACTGACCTCCTCCAGGAGCCTTACTGTAGGAGCAGAGGAAATTAAACTGTATTCACTGGATGAGGTCCTTGTCCTGCTCTTCTTGCCATTACTGGTAGATAATTAGGGAAAGTTTTAAAAGTTGGACCTGAAGGAATGGGAAGTAAGATTTATGGGACATCCGCTGTGCCACAAACTGTGTTGTGCGTTTCTCCTTTCTTATCCACTTAATCACACAGTAAGCCACTGTGTAGTAGTGCCTTTTACAGAAAAAGAAAACTTAAAACTCAGATTGGTATAAATGACTTAGCCAGGTCGCACACTTTTAGAGAGATTGGGTAAGAAATTGGATGTAGGCCTTTTTGATTCCAAGGCCAATTCTTTCACTAAATTCACTGAAGTTTATATGTAGACAGCAGTACCAGAGACCTAAGCAAGTGATACAGGGTTCACCTATATCATTGGCAGCCCCAGCTTCTGTAACATTACTATACTATGATTCCTGGTACAGGTCAGTGTTTAAACAGGCAAATCCTGGTGTCATAAGCCGCATTCAACTTGTTTGCGACACATTTCTACTTGGGATTTCCCATCATATTGTTGAAAGCATGTCTGTGCCCTGCAACTGAACAGAAACTACTTGAATAATTTTACAAACTGTCACCTGTCTGGGATATGAAAATGCTTTTTCTCCTTAGAAGTAAACTGCTTTTTGCCAATTTTCCTTAAGCTTATCTGACATTCAGGACATCTTAAAATGTACTAGCTCCATCCTTTATATGTTACCAGTATCTTCATCCAGCTTGTTGCTTTTGCATCTCATGAAGAACAAAAGTCCTTATACTTTAAGCAAATTTTATCCTTTTCCTCCTTTGTATCTTACATTTCTTACTTAAAAATCTTTTCCTTTCTGAAGGCCACAGATATTCTGTATGTTGTAATGAAAGTCTTAGTAGTATTTTGTCATTTAAGTATAAAATCCAAGTAAAATTGATTTGTAGGTATGGTAAGAGCTAGGGATCTAATATCTTTCCTGTATGGGTAGTTCATACTACCATGATCTGGGGAGGGGTGTACTTTTTATTTATATATATGCACACACATATACATATGTACGTACATATATACATATATACACATAAACAGAAAAAATTATGTTTATTGGGACAAACTAAGACTGTAATCTGGGAAAACAGAGTTAAGCAGTCTTGAAAATACCCCCCCCATCCCTTTTAGGAGCCTCTGCAAGGATCATTTCTTATTGATGTTTTGAGGAAAAAATGGCATCATTCACTAAATTTTCATTCTTTCAGGTATTTGACAAGGAAGAGCTTCTACAGTGTATCCAGCAGCTTGTGTCTTTGGATAAAGAATGGGTCCCCTATTCCACTGCTGCTAGTCTCTATATTCGTCCCACACTCATCGGAACTGAGGTACAAAACGATTTCCCTTTTTGGGGGAACTTTCTTGGGCAGGTTCACATTGTTCTTGAGACTTGGATATTAGTTTGAAGTGCTTTCCCCCTCCCAGTAGCATCATTAATGACTTTTTCCTCCTGGTTGTTAGGACTGAGGGTAGTAAACGTTTGCTTAGAAGAGCCAGATAGTAAATATTTTAGGCGTTGGGTGTTCATACGGTTTCTATCAGTTACTCAGCACTGCCATAGTCTACTACTAAAACAGCCATAGATGCGCATGTGAACGTAAAAGGGCCTGTGCTGTCTGCCTTCCCCTGCCCAAGACAAATCATTATTTCCTCAACTAACACTTTTAATGCCTTCCATTCTGGGTTAGAAGTGCTGGCGAGGGAGAGCTGCTTATTTTTATTTTCATTTTCTTGAAGTCTTGGGATTTGATGGTAAAATGTGGGAATAGAGGTTCCTTTCCAAGTAGAAAATGCTGAAAGTGGAGTTCACAGTGGGGCATTGGGGAAGGAACTCGGGGAGCTAGAGTGGCCAGTGTGAACACTGATGGGCCACAGTCCCTTGGTTGCATGCCTTGCAGAAGGCCCGGGATGCGCATGTCTGGAGTTGCCAGGGGCATTCGGGTGGGTGAGTTTCTAGAGTCTTGTTGTGGCCTCGTGTATGTTCCAGGCAGCTGTGGCCTCATGGAGAGTGGGTGTTACTTTGGGTTAAGTGATAGGAGGAGATGAAATGAGGGTGGCAGATTAAAGGAGTTGGCCACATGGACACCTTCAGGAATGAGGAGAATGAGACAAGAGCTCTTTGGCTATGTCTAGCTGTTCTATCCTCTATTACTGTATGGTTACCAGATTGTCTCCTAGGTTGTATGAATTTGAAAAGTCAGGGATTATATATACCCACAGAATAAATACCTAAAGGATCCTTTGGCATCCTTGGATGCCTTTTGAGGGACTACTAAGAGTCTAGATGATGAATTTCATGAGTAGTATCCTCCCTAATAAATTTAGAAGAATTGAAGTAATTTAAAAAAGTGATCTACTTCCTTAACTTTTTGACATTTTAATATCATTGAATCTTTAATTTTTTCTAACTTTAGGAAGAATCAATTTCTAAAGAAATTGTTAGTAATTGTTACTAATTGTACATTGTTTCTAATCTCAAAACACCACTTCTCAAAGACGCTTTTCCAGTCTGAGATATTTGTATTCCTACTTTGTTGAAAGTTTTTGTCATGAATGGATGTTGGGATTTGTCAATTATTTTTTTCTGAATCTCTTGACAAGATTTCTTTTTTTCTTTCCTTTTTAAGAGATGAAGGCTCACTTCGTTGCCCTGGGTTTTTAAAAATTCCCTTTTAACTTCATTCACCACTTTCACTTCCTCTTCCCCCATTAAAAAATATTCTTGTGCACTGAATGAATATTGTTTTCATTTTGTATATGTTTCTGAGTTATCTCTTCCCACCTTGTATGGCTGTAATTTTATATAAACAGTTAGTGTCCTGCCAATCTCATTTTTCCCCTTTTTCTCTCAGCCCTGCTTCTCATTTCTATCCAGGTCATTAATGTGTGTATCTAACCCATCACACTTCACTACTGCGGAGTTTTCCACTCTGGACTTCTGCATTTTTTCCCAATTTCCTTAGTGGGATTTCTGTTCCCTGCTATTTCCTACAATGCTTCAAAGAACAACTTATGAGAGTTAATTATTGGCCAGCAAGAGGTCCACTTTGTGTTTCCATCCGACAGGACTGCTGCTTTTCAGGGAAGCTTGTTTCTTTCTATGCCATGGCCCTGGGGTCTGTTGTCATTGCAATCAACTGACATTATGAAACTATGCTGAGTGACAGCAGTGCGCTTGCTGCTTCTATGCACTGACTCAGACAACTCAGAGTTGGTGCTACTACCTTATTTTAGGGGACAAGGATATGGGGACCCAAAGAGGTGAAGGAAGAGCCCAGGTGCTCCAAGTCTCCATGCTGCAGCCTCTCCAGTGTTGGCCCTTGTGCTTGGTCTAGGGATAAAACACTGAGCAAACTTCACCTCTCTGCTCTCTTGAAGCTCAGAGTCTGGGGCGTGAGTCAGCCCCTCACTGGACAAAGCCCTGAGTGTGTGTTGGCCGATAGAGGTCAGTGCTGAGACGACATGGGGTGGTGAGAGTGACTAGGGAGAAAACGGGATTTTGATGGGCCACTAGGTTCTTTCCTATCCTGTTCTCATATGTATACTTTTGTATCTATTTCAGTTTCTTCTCTGAGCTACCAGGTTTCCACCCTGAATTATACTTGACAAGTTTACAGCAGTATGTGAAGTGTCCTTTCAAGCCTTGCTTTTTAAAAATTGGAGTGTCGTCTTAATTTTTTGAATCTTTATGGAATTCTGGATAGAAATGCTTTGTCAGATTATGCCTCACAAATGACTTCCTGGTGTGGGTTAACTCCTTTGTCTGGTAAATGATGCATTTATGTGGCTTCGCTTTGTCTGTCTTGCCCTTGTCACTTGGCTACCAGTGTCCTGATAACCAGAACTATTTAATTTCAGTATAAATGTGCTATTTATGTTTTGTGATGTTTATGTGTTTTATTTATTTATTTCTTTTTGGTACCGGGGATTGAACTCGGGTCCTTGTGTTTATGAGGCAGGCAGCGGAACCACTGAGCTAAATCCCCGGCCCCGATGTTTATGTGTTTTAAAGAAATTATTCCTTACTCCAAAGTCATTCCTCTGTTTTAAAGTTTTCTTATTCCACTTCAGTGAACTCGGTGTGGACATGAACTCTGGGAAGTTCGGAGCTCAGTTTCTGTTTTCTCCACATGGAAACCACTTTCTCCTATCACAACGGTCAATGGGTCCATTCTTTCCTCGATGATTACAGTACCAGCTGCTGATAGTTCAAGTTTCTGTAGATGAAGGCTAATTTTGGGCTCTCTGTCTCTACCTTCCTTTAAAAACATATAAATGTACCAATACTAGTAATGAAACAAGTTGTATTACTGTCTTCTTTTTTCATACTTGTAGTCTGCCTTTGAGAGCTTTCTATATTCATACATAATGGATCTGCCTGTAAAGTATGCCACTGTACTCATATGCACACAGGGTGTTGTAAGGTGTTAGAGGCAACATTATTTTATGTGCCTAGATGGAAAAACATTGGCAATCAAACACAATACTTTCCCCACTAGTTCTGATGAGTCATGAATTAGTCATATGTACCTCTTCTTTGAGGTGTACGTGTTCTGAGGAAATTTGCAATCTCTCCTTCCATCAGTTGTACTGGCTTATCATAGGCATTTTTATCATTGCATCTATTGTCATAACATATGTTAACAAGGTATTATCTTCTTAAAGGTTTCCTCCTATCCTAGGTCCCATTAGAGAATGCAATCACAAGTCACAATTCAAAATACTGAATAGCATTTGTTTAATACTATTATAAATATTTGTTTATGTCCAGTATATGTCCTGCTCCTATTTTTTTTTTTGTTTTTGTTTTGTGGTTTGTTTGTTTTTTGTACTGGGGATCGAACTTGGGTCCTTACGCAGCAGGCGGCGAAACCACTGAGCTAAATCTCCGGCCCCCTCCTATATATTTTTTTTCAATGGTGAAAAAAATGTATACAATTCTCCAGCTAGACTCAGTTGGGATGATCCCAATTTTGTTGACCACACCCTAAGCATTATAACCAGGAACCAGTGGACAAACACCTTTCCTCCCTCAGGCCTGGTCAGGGTATTGACCTTGGCCACCTCAGCATCATACAGCTTCTTCACAGCCTATGTGATGTAGTGCTGTGCAGCCTATGTGAACGTAGTGTGCTGTCTTATATCTTTGCAACAGACTCAGTGGTCAGGGAGAAGTTGAGGACAGCATAGTGATCACACTTGCTTCTCCTGGGGTGCTCTTCCTAGGACATTTGGGCGACCGCCAGAGCCTTAATGTGTTTGGCTGCTAGACAGCAGATGATGTGCAGTTGTCTCTTTCTTGTGCCTGTGGAGGGTACTTTTGGCTCTGCCTTCTTGACCTTTGTTTTTCACTTTGAAAGGAATGGAAACTTACTTCTTTGCCTTTGGTGCCATCTTGGTGAAAATTGCCTGTGCCTCTTTTTGTGCTTTTGAATGTGGTAGCTTTTCAGTGCCAAATCATTTCATAACTTTTTGAAGACATAGTGTGCCGTTTTTATTAGTACATATTTGGAATACATAATAAATACCTTCATCGTGGGGAGCTGGTACATATACATATTTCATTTTAGTTCTTTTTAACTCCCCCCTCCTATCTCCAAAAATTTTGTCTCCCTGTTACCTATCTAGTTGTCTTTTATTTTGCTCATTAAATTATCTGTACTTTGGGTTTCTCACATAAAAGAAAGCATGTGATACAGTATTTAACTTTCTGTGTCTGATTTATTTCACTAAGCATTATGGCCACAAGGTGTATCCATTTTTCTACACATGACTCAAATTTATCCTTGTTTATGGCCAAATATTTTCCATTGTGTATAAATACCACATTTTCTTTATCCATTCATCTGTTGATGGACATATAGGCCATTTCCAAGATTCGGCTCTTGTGAGTTGTGCTGCTATAAACATGGATATGCATGTTTCATTGTAACATGATGTGTTTAACTCTTTTGTGAAGTAGCTCAGAAGGAGAATACCTGGGTCGAATGGAATGTCTATTTTTAGTTTTTTGAGGAATCTGATTTCCATAGTGGTTCTGTTAGTTTAATTTCCTGCCAACAACATAAAAAGGTTCCTTTTCCCCTACAACCTCAACAGCATTTATTTTTTGAGTTCTTGATGACAGCCATTCTTTCTGGGTTAAGATGGAATCTCAGTGTTGTTTGATTTGGATTTCTCTAATGCCCAAAGATACTGAACATTTTTTCATGTACTTTTGTACATGCGATTTGTACTTCTGTTTTGAAAGTGTATATTTTAGTTGCCCATTTTTTGATTGGGTCTTTTATTTTGGGAGGTCTAATTGTTTTGGAGTTTTTATGTATTC